TTTTAAATTTTAATTTATTTATTATTTAAACTAATTTTAAGACTCTCTATAGTATAATTTTTATAAATAATTTAGAGTATTATAAATATTATATCTTTTTACTAATAAATAGTCTTACTAAATATAAAATTAAGATTAAACTATAAATAAATATTTTTTAGACTATTTTTCTATAATCTTAGAATACTCTATCTTAATTAAAAACCAACTTAATATATTATTCTAATTTAATTATCACGAGTAGCACGACTGGGCGATTATTTTTTAATAATAGGATTTTTTTTTATATTATTTTAAAGTATTTATTTTTATTTTCTGTTAATATAGTTGCGGGAGGCTTTTTAATTAAGTAAATATTATAAAAATAATATTAAAGCTCTAAAGCAGAAGAATATATTTTATTTTTATAAAATAAATAAAAGTATATAATAGACTTTTTCTTGTTTATTTTTAATAAATATTTATTATTAATATTATTAATTAGAATAGTCTTTTTGTACTATTACTTAAATCTGTATTTAGACTATATGCTCTAATTATTCAAGCAGAAAGAATAAAGTTCTAATAAAACTAATAAATAATAAAATTATAATAAACTATAATACAGATATAGATTTTTTAAATAAAAATAATAATAATCCTGCTAGTTAGACTTAATATAAAACTACTTAATATATAGAAAATACTATTTTTAAAATATTCGGTCAGTATAATAATAAGCTCTCTTTCTATTTTTATATAATTGTTAATATAATATTATATTCAGTAATCTTCTTTTGTATTAAATTATATATTTAAAATAAGTTTAGATCTTAAAACTGCAGGAATCAGTATTTAAAATCCAAGTATAAAAAATCTAAAATAGATTTTAATATATTTTTAAAATAAGCCGGATATCTTCTATTAATTAGTAATTTATCGGAATAGTATACTATTTTTTTTTTAGATATACAAATAGCTATTATATTTAGTATATACTATCTTCTAGTCTTACTGTTAATTATTATTTTACTAAATAAGTTATCTCTTAGTTTATCTCTCTCTGGTATGTATTTTTGATAAATTAAAAATAAATATATTAAATTATATTTAGTAAAATCTTTTTCTGTAATATATTTATTATAGAAGAACTTTTACTAGTTTTAAATAAAATCTCTGGTCTTACTGTATTATTTTTTTACTATTTTATTATATAACTTTTTTTATTTGCTTATAAGCTCCTGCTGCTTATCTAGCTTGTTATTAATTTTTTTTATTAGAATCTTAATCTTTATATAGAAATCTATTATCTTTTTATTATTTTTAAACTCAGCAACAGCAGCGGTATTAAATTTTTAGAAAATATTTAGATTATAGTAATATATTATGCTTTTTTTTATATTAAGATATTTATAGTCAGGCTCTAGATTCTAAAAATATGCTTGAATATCGGTATATTTAAATCTTAATTGATACTTAAGATAAGTATCCGGATTTATATAATCTAATACTTAACTGTATATAGCTTAAGATGCTTTTATTATAATAATATAATTAGTAATTTATACTATAGTATGTAAGAATATTATATACAGTTAATAATAGTTGCTACTCGGCCTCTAATTCTATATATTCTTAGCAGGTCTTAGAAATATTCTTATTGGGTAAAAGAGCTCAGATTATTTTAAATTAAAAAAAATATTAAAGTATAACTAGAATACAGCCTATTTAGAGTAACTATATAAAGAACGGGTATTAATTATATATAATTCTTTTATTTAAGTATCTAAGATTTTCTGCTTTTAGATAGAACTTTTAATAATAATTTATTAATACTATATATATTTTTAAAAGCTTAATCGGCTATACCTGTAATTATAATATAGAATATAAAGTTCCTGCCAAGTATTTTTTACTTTATAATTCTATTCTTCGGGCTAGAATTATTAGTCTAAATAATAGTAATGCCTAAAGTAAAAACTTATATAACTGTCTTATTACTATACCGGTGGCCTTTTATAAATTCTAGATCTATAATAACTTATCTTTTGATTTTATTGTTTTTATATTAGATGTTAAAGATAAGATGTTTTTATTAAGAGTCAGGTTCTCTAACAGGGTTTTTGTATATAAAAATCCGATATATCTTATAGTAAAAATACTTATTAGTATTTCTATATAAACTTGACTCGATAATAATCCCGGCTCTAGCTCCGGAGCCCGAAAAGAGTAATAAGATAAGAATATCTTAAAATCGAGTTCTTTTATTAATGTAGTTATAATTATTATCTTAAAATAACTGTTTAAGAAGAAGATTAAGATCTGTTATTATAATATAAAACTTCTTCCGATGTTTTATTTTAAGTCTATATTTTAGTATTAATTTGTTATAAATATACTTTAAATATGGTTAGTAAGTATTGTAATTTAGAAAAAAGATAGATACCCAGAATATATATTATAGATATTACTTTTAATATTCTTCGGAATAATTTTTAAGATTTTTCTCTTTAATTCGGTGATAAAACAGAATAAGTTATAATTTATACTATATTAGGAGGGCAGGTCTTCTTTGTATAGACAGATAAAATTTTTAGAAAAGAACTTTAAGATCTGGCTGGGAGGATCTGGCTTTATTTTAGAAAAATATTTGTCTTCAGGTTTACCTTAAGTTATTATCCACCTAGTCTGAAGTTAGTGATGTTTGTATATATAGAAGAAGAATATTTCTATTACTTATATTTTCTAATTTTCAGTAGCTTTGTTGTATTTTTTATTAATAGCTAAAGCTCTTTTCTTATAATATATCTTATTCTCTTTCTGTTTTGTAATTTATTAGTACTCTGTAATAAAACCATGTAATTTACCGATTTTTCGGAGTTTCTTAATGTTTCTCCGCCTCTGCTTCTCCTCGGAGAGGCCTGATTTATTGTTATATAATATATTAATTTTTAATATGGTATTACTTTTCAAGTTGTTCACTGAGTATGAGTATATCGAACGGAGAAAAAAAGAGATAGACAACCAGATTATACGCCCTATTTAATTTCAAAAACTTTCTTACTTGGTTGTCTGGCTGATATACTTAGTTATTCAATTGCTTATCTATTTACTTACTCTACTCACCCCGCTTACCCACGCTCTGGATAGTATTACCCAAATCACCCGTACTCACTCGTTGTCTTAGCGTAGCTCATCCATAAAGCAGCGACTGAGAAAGGGCTCATATCCCACTCGGCCGCGTTCAACGTGTGGCTTAAGTACGGCTGAGCGGACGGGAAGCCCTGTTTTCCACACCCTGTGGTCGTATGTGCTTGTTTCCATAGATAGCCGTGCTATAGCTAGCGCATGAACTCATCTTATTACTTGATTACTTGTAATGTTAACTTATAACTACGAGATTCCCCCTCGTATTTTCAATTGCGGCCAACAGCCGCCGAGTTTCCCTTCGTCAAAGTGCGGCCTTACACTATCACGCCGCGAGCGACAGCCAGCCCGGCTGGGGCTACTGCTCAATGGTCAAGGATGGCCACAAGTACAGCATCCCCACTCGCCATTGATATACGTGGCCGACAGGCGAGACCAAGCGCACCCTCGGGTCGGTCGTTAGCGACTTCGGCCCCTTCGTCAAAGACATCCGAGTCAACCAGCGACCCATGCCGCGTGTTAAACCCTGTTCGAGACGTACGCTCATTCTATACTGAGTAAGATCCCAGGTTGGGAAGACAACGACCGCTGGCTAGAAGTGTGGGATAAGTACAGTAACAAAGTCGCCTTCACGCTCGAAACCAACGACACTAGGATGGACGTCATTGAGAAAGACCGTGCCATCACGGCCGAGATTGAAACGAATGGAGTTCCCCAGCCTGAGACGCCCGCCTGGGTCCAAGATATCCCCGACGACATCCAGGGCTGCATTCCTACGAACTTATAGAAAACTTGCCTGCTGACCATGCTGTTGTCGAGGAGTGGCGGAAACGAACCCAGAGGAGGAAGAATACAGCCCGAGGCCCAGATTCTTGGTAGTATTGTGTGTTCACACGGAGTCGGAGTGCATAGTTCGAGGTGCACACATTCCGACTTGCATCTGAAGAAGCAAGCATTGCTCTGTTCTTCTTGTAGGGCATCAGTCACCATACCTGTCTCGGGGTATCACGGGACGACACGACATGCAGTGTAGACCAATTTTGTTTTACCGTACTGTAGCTCAAGGCAGGGGAATTGAATGTTGACAGTGGCCTGACTGACGACTCAATTTCCTGGATTTCGTTCTAGCATAAAATGAGTCAATGGAATCTAGTTTCCGCCGTAGTCTCCCGTTCACGCGATAAAGTAAAAGGAGACGACCAACCCCGGATGCCTAAACCTCTCCTTCATTAGGAATACCTGTCCACCAACCCCGAAGATCCCGATACCAAGACCAGCCTCCCAGCGACCCCCCCAGGGCCAGGCCAGCGATGAACGCCGTCTTGCTCATCTGCGTCTTGAAGCTGAAATCGTACTTCCAGTGCTTTGGTTCTTCTTCCTTACTCTGGGTGTCTTGAGAAGCCGCCTCCTTGTCGCAACGAGCCGAATGGGTCGAAAATGCTGCTAACGCGCGAGAAGTCATCGTAGCATTTGCGCTGCAAAGGTAGCCATTGTTGTGAAGAGGGGCGCGTATTGGCAGGCGGCGCAGTATTGTAGCCATGACGGTTAGTACGCGGTCTATGCTGCTAAGGTTAGTTAGTGTTGTAAAGAGGGTATGAGGAGATGAACTGAAATCGGTTGCTAACTTTGTCAATCTGGCAATATGCGATCAATGTGAACAGCGCAGATAGACGGTGCGGCTCGTAGTATTTATATATTGGTGAGTCTGACTGGGCGGCCGAGAAACATTTCGCTCTGAGACTGAACGGGAATAGCGGCGGTCGGGTCCAAGCGGACTAGCCCGCAATGACCCTAAAAATAGGTCGAGCCTCCCGGTTTAGGATGACTGACTCGGCTGTTCCAATAAGGTTGTCGATGCTAGTTCGAGATCTACGATGACATTTACCTACTCGGTTCCACAGGGAGAGTAAGTTATGAGGTATGTGTATGTGCAAAATGCTATTTCCGCGTGCACCTTGGGAATATTATCGGTCTGCATAAATTGGAAAGCGGCCATCGAGCCGATCAGTGTTCAATATGCAATATGGTCATGTGCATTGTATTATGGCATGGTATCATGCCTTGAAATCGCTTTATCATTGGTTACGATGAGCCCTTTCATGAGGATGTAGTAAATAATATTGAGTTTTTATTTCTCTTAGAGGCAGGGCCATGGTGCTTTATCAATCCTTCGATGCGGACAAGATATACTTGGTTTTTGAAGTGCTTGATGGCGATGGCGACAGTAACACCGGGAACGGGATGGCTGTCTCAGTACCAAACTCACTGGCATCACTGGTGCTAACGCTTTGCTACAGATACAACATGTCTCGCGTCGTACTTGGACCCCTGCACGCCAAGACAGTGGTCCTGACCGGAGGTGCAGTCATCACGGCCTTGACAAGCAAACAATACGCCTCACCCCATGGAGACCCCGGAACAGTCATTGAAGCAACGAAGAACTTCAAAGACTTACAGAACTTGCAAACAGGTGAGCACCTACGTCTGCGGTACAATACCTTCATCGACACCATGTAATGCTACACCACAACCATAACATCGCTGTCAGATGGCTTTTTTGATCCCATTGCTGGCGAAAAACCAGGGTGGCCGGATATGCTGGTGGCCATCCCAACCACCCTATTTTTGTACAACCTGAAAGACACTGCTCCTTTTACTCTCTAGGGCTGGGGTCTGAGTGGCGTGGGACTTCTCGCCGGCGTGACCCTGAACAGGGTGGCGGCGAAGGAAGTCTCAGCCGCCCCGTGAAAAAGCGCTTCAAGGCAACCATGATGGCGGTAATATCCGTTCCCTCTCTGTGCCTCAGCCTTGTCGGAAATATGGATCATGAAGCGGGCAGAAAGTATGATTGGCTGATTGTCAACGCGTATATCGGAACGGCGGCTGGGCACGACGCGAGCTGGGGAGATGCTGTTGCCCGGTGGACCGACGAGTTTGAAAACGCTTTGATGTATCTCGGCTTACCAGTGGGCTCAGTCTGTACCTTAGTCAGGTACTATTGCTTCGCGATCGACCTCATGCATGACGCGTTGCTGGGGCGAGAATTGTACTGTGGTCTTTTGGTCCGGGGAACGGCGGTATTCTTTTGATAGCGATTTTTCGATGATGTTTGCCCTGGTATAATTGTGTGATCCGTATTGGCCGAGCGATATAATGGAGCAGAGGAATAGTCTTTACTTAGACGCCACCTAATATCGTCACGCAGCTACAATTGGCATCGAAAGGCCTTCGTAACCATATCACTACGTCCCGGAAAACATCCAATACTGAAATCAAATCTCAACTTTCCCTGATTGCCAAGAACATGCAGTGGGACTACCAAAGCCACTATATGCACAAGTAAAGAAAGCACAGTGCGTAGGCCAACGCGCGGAATGTGAAAATCCTTCGAAGGCTACTCATAGACAGCTCTTAAGGCTTTGAGGTGCGTAACGAGATCCTAGGGCCCCTCGAAGAATAACTCTAAGAGCCCTCAGCAAGAAGAGTACTCTCGCAGTCACATATCTCACCTAAGCAGGAGGAAGCGCCTCCTTGCCCTGTTTCCACTCGCGCTCGTACTTCCACTCAATCACACCAGTAACATGCTTTCCACTCTGGAAGAAGACACGAAGCTGGACCTCCCTGCGGCTAAAGGCGAGGGCCGCGACCTGACTGCCGGGCACGCACTGCTGGTGGAAGCCGCCGCGCTGCCACTTGTCATCGTCACACGCCATCTCCATCACCTGGTTATCCTCGTGAACGCAGTAGACGCGGATACGGTCGTTGTGGAAGACGGTAGCCGCCAGATCTGTGCGAGGCGGGGCCTTGGAGACGGAGAACTCTCCGTCCTTCCAGTGGCGGCCGTCGTACAGCTTCTCGCGGAGGCTGAGGTCGTCTTTCTGGTGGTAGACACTGTGATTGACTTAGCAATTGACACGGTGGTAATAATATGGAGCAGGATACCGAATCTTCATGGCAGAGTCGTGCGAGTCGGAGCTCTTGGGGCTCACGCAAGCCAGGCCGCTGCCGGGCAGGGCGCGGCCAAGGTTGGTCATCTTCGACCAGCCCTGTTTCTCGTCTTTTGCGGATTGACTTGTTAGATAAATGCCCGCGCGCGACCGGAGAGAGCCGACTCGCCATCCTGACCCAGCTCCTGGATAGTGTTATCCGGCATCTGCACATAGACGCGGAGGTGGGTGTCGTCCTTGCCGCGGTGGCAGCACGCCGCCATCATCGAGTAAGGCGCCACCTTGATCTGATGGCGGTTGAGAGATTCCTCGTGCCATCTTCCGTGGTTGTCACGGTAGACCCCCCTGACCACGCGGTCTTCTCCAATGAAGAACAGATTCACCTGGTACTTTGATTAGTGGAAAATCGGATTGCTAGTAAGGGACCTGATACTCACAGTATCGGAGGTCCGACAAATAGCGGCAATGGGGGACCCCAGGATCGCCTGTGCGACCACATCGTGTTGGGAGCCACCGGACCACTGGCCGTCGTGGAAGCGAGTCTCGCGGATACGGCCGTTGGTGTCCTGGGTGTACACCTGGAAATTATCCTCGGACCCGACAGCGGCAATGGCGCAGCCTGGTTAATGTTAGCGTATGTGGGCATCGTAGATGATAGGGTGATGGTCTCGGAAGTAGGGGGGCACGCACGGAAGCGGATCTCCTGGGCACCGGCGTTCGACATGGCGAGGTGTCTTGACAAAGATCTGTTGGTCGGTTTGCTGGTTTGAATAGACAGTTGCGCAAAGCAGAGAATGCTTGGATGCTCTGTGCTGGGAGAGTGTAATGGTCTGGGCTTCTAAGTCCTCTTATATCTGGCCATGTTACACAGATGTTTCCTGGTGAACGCTTTGACCCTCACCCACGGGGATGAATGGCGTGGTAATTGTGCCACAGTGACAAAGATGTGGAAGGTCCGGGATGGAAATATCAACGTTTTCGTTGCAGGTCGCACCTATTTGGCCCGCTTCGGAGGACACAAGGCGCAATAACTGCGACATGGTATCGCACAGCCCTCATCTCATCGCCATACATAACTTCCTTTGATGCAACAAATGGTTTTACCGAGTCCAATAATTGCTGCACATTGACTTAGCAGTGATCGTTCGTGTGTCCGAGTGTTCAATTGAGAGTCATTGTGCTCTTGAAGCATTGGCGAGCGGGTGAGTCGGTAGCTGCCCTCCTTTACATTTACATACTTGGCCTAGCAGTGCGCCACTTGAACTTGCCATAATGCCTATTCTCGATAGGATAGCATGAAGTTTTGGCAGCATGCGATTATCAGCTTTGTCAGATGGCAGGAATTTACCTTGCGCACTAGGATCAGACAATGACTTGGGGCAATGAAGCGACAGTTTCGGGGCTAGCACACCTTCATCGAAGCTTTTACGCCTATCCCGCCTTGTTCCAGTGCGAATGGACAACAATAACAGGTTTCGTTCAAAGATGAAGCGTCTGTTTATTCCTTCGGGCTCTCAGCAATTCTGCACAGTGGCAGTGAGGCAACAGACCAAGAAGAGTATTGTGTGTAATTTAATAGCTTGGCAAGCTTTTATTTTTTGTGCAGCCAAGGCGGGGAGCACGCAAAGCTCTGAGCTTTTAGCACGCAAAAAGGTCATCACCATGAGTCTAACAATGATGCTGTCAGAAGGCCTTGTACCAAGGTCTACCGATAAACCAATGTCTGGGCAGTTGAATAATCGGTTTAAAGCTGTATAGGTACACCATCTACCTTCTCCAATGGCGCCCACCAATAGTCCTCGCCACCCGCTCTCGCATCAAAACGTAGACTCTGCACATCAGACGTTACCCAAAGCTTACCATGCCCCCTGCATTGTATTCTTTGCGACAAGCTCAATCGCCATCATCACTCCCATCGCCCCCGCAATATACCAACTCAGCGTCGCGATGGAGTCCTGCACCGGTCGCTGGTACGCATAATTGGTCGCACACGCCGCGAAGATAAGCCATGGGACGGAGTACGAGGCCCAGATGATGCGATCTGTGCGAATCATCAGCATTCGGCACTATCCAAACCACTCCCGCAGAACGGCGCCTTCGGTTCTTGTGCAACATACCGCGAGCAGACTGTAGCCCCAGATCGGGATGGAAAAGGCAGGCAAGAATAGTGACTATCCCCATGAATGCAGCGATAGCAGCGTCTGAGACATGCTAGCTTAGTTCTTGGACACTTGTCCTGCAGCCTCTCGGAACATGGAGAGTGAGCTTACACTTGCTGATTTGGGTCAATGGCGTCTGTGCCTCGGGGCTCGGGGTGACCTCATCTTCCCTGATCGCGCGATGCAGGCACAGCCCGACATTATCACCAAACACACGTTGGAGGTGATCGAGGGTTGCTGCTCGGAGTTCTGAACCGCAACCGATGTCCCAGTTAGCGGCTTGTTTTGTGGCAGAGTCCACCGTTACATCGTGCTTAGTGACGAGGGCTTGGATAATGTAGGTGCGAACTTCGTCGGCGGTCGCGCTGTCCGAAAGGCTGGCTTTGGGTGTCATGGTCAAAATGGTCTTTCGGTAGGCACTTTACACATGTGGTGCAAGAAAGGGTGAGGCAGGAGCGGTATGATTGGGATCATAAATGGGGTTTGTTAGATAGTTTCCTCTCCTTATACCTAGGGGGAGCCGAGGCCCTCTGACAAGCGGCGCTGAAAGCTCCGAAGCTACTTTTGTCGGGCATAGTGCGATGGACGAACGATAGCTCTGTCATCTAATCAAGGTCTTACATTGACGTCATTCTTGGTATGCTAGCACGCTAGAACTGTGGGTCAAGTTTAAGGGAGAGGCTTAGTGTAGGCCTCAGCCTCACTGGGCGTCTTGATCCCCGTGCCATTGTTCCGACAAGCCGACCCTGTTGAATACCCGCGGTACAGTGCCTTGCACCACCAGTCTGCCTACCTGGAACACTTCGATTTTGTTTCCCAGACCCTCAAACCCCAGTAGCAGTCCTCATAGGGTCAGTATCGGAGCCAAAGCTCTTGGCAAGCTATAGCTTGGTGTACAATTAGGTTACAGTTTCGGCGTGATTTAATATTGCGTATGTTTTAGTAAACGGACCTTATCCAGTGTAGAAAACATGAGATATATACTTCAAGAGTATGAAGTCTTATCTCTACATATATATTTTTTATTATATTGTTCTGCATCTATCTTCTAAGCCTCCTACTTGGCGGTGAATCTCGCGAAGTGTGTTAAATATACGTTGTGTTTTTGAGTAGGGATTTTGGAACCAAAAGAAAGAATTCAGGCTGTTTAAGTGTAGGAGAAGAACAAAATAGGTTATAGTATTAGCTACGACAGCAGAAGCCAGGTGCTGGACCATCCATTCATGGTTACGACGCAATATATGATCAAACCTGCACTTTATCGTCGAAAGAATAAAATCATAAAGAATCGCCATTTGCGTCCAGCGGCTTGGAAAGCCGAGGGTTGTTGACAGTAGCATGCATGGTATTCAAACGAATGTGGCAGACTAAGTAATGTAACATGTGTTTGCTGACATTTTGAAGGCTGGACTGCTGCTATTTCCCAGTCACGAAAGGTGTTTGATGAGGATATAGCGTGTGGATGATGCGAGCCTATTATGTTGGTGCGAAAGTCGGCACATTTTCTAAGAAGGTTTAAGGCATCAGGGGCCTTCCTAGCTGTTTTAGAGTAGATGCAAGTTTTTGCATGCTGGTCAAAGTATCAGGATGCTCGGGACCAAGAGCCTTCTCACGACCCTGAAGTGCTCGTTGATGCATGGCCTCTGCCTCTGTATACTTGCCCTGTCGTGCGAGTACTGAGCCAAGCTGGCTGACACTGGACAGAGTATCAGGATCCTCTAGTCCGCAACCTTTTTCTCGTATTTCTAGCACGTTTCGAAATACAATCTCGGCCTCGCTATATCTTTCATCACTCTGCAGGCAGCCTCCGATTCTTGCCAGAAAGTGATGGTACTTGTCCTGGTGTGCCTGGAATTCTGCGCTGTTTACCAGATACAATGCATGAGGTAGGTAGTCCCTCCACTTACGTCGATTGTCATGGTTGCTGTTCGGAAACACCTGGGCTAACCGGTTGCCTGCCCTTTCTACCCAACTGTTCAGGCTCTTCCTTCTGCGAAGCCAGTTTCGAGTGGCGAGATGTACAAGTCGATGAACACTGAAAGTGCTGTCTTCACCCTGTATGCTGACAAAAGAATATGCTTTGAGAAGACCTACTGCTTCTACTTTCCGTTTTGCTGAAGCTGCGGCCGGCAAAATGGACTCCGGTATATTCCGTGGATTGATACAAGCCATGAACGACAGATAGTCGCTCGCTGTTTCATCCAGTTGTTGAATTTGTGAGAATGACACCAGCCAGGTTGTGGCCACTGGGTTCTGAATTTCTGCATAGCGTCCATCATCATCAAACTCCTCGTTGAGCATTTCCATTGTGCTTGCCTCCTGTTCACCCAGCAACAACATGTATTTCTCAAAGGAGATACCGTGCTGATTCATGTAAGCTGCGGCTTGACTGATTGCCAGAGGGAGAAAGGCAAGCTGCTCAAGGAGTATATTTGCCATGAGGTCATTTTGAAGCAGATCTTTCTGGACTAGTAATTCTTTGAAGATCTTCTTCCCAGTCTTCTGATCCACATCAGGAATAGAGACTATGTTTGCTGCTGCCAGCTTTAACGCGAGCTGACGATTGCGTGACGTGAAGAGCACATGGCCATTCTCACTCTGAGGAATAATATCCTTGAGTGGTGGTGCTGAGGGGCTGTTCTTGATCCACATATTCATCTCATCTGCGTTGTCGAAAATCAGGATCCACTTCTTGTCGGTCTGGATGAAGTAAGCCTGGAGCCGCTGTTTTACCCCGGCTGGCTCCACATCCTGGAGCCCCACCAGACTTGCAATGCTCATGAAAGCCTGTTCAACAGCCTTATAGCTGGTACATGGGATCCAGAAGACCGAACATTCAGGCTCTCTGTCGCGCATGCGGTAGGCGAACTGCAGCGCAATCTGGGTTTTTCCTACCCCGCCCAATCCAGTAATGGCAAGCTTTCTCGGTCTGTCTGGCGCAGAGATCCAGTCCTCTAATTCCTGTATCTCTTTCCGGCGGCCCACGAAATGCGGATTTCTTGCAAAGGGAATCATTAGGTGGCGAGAATTGCTCGTACCTATTAAATCTATAAGATATTGACAGTATTGCACTTTTATCTGATGATTTACTGACCTTTGTAGTTTACCGGCATCCAATACTCCAAAAAAGCCTTCGCCACTGACGCTCCGGTCGCTGCTGCATATGCCTGCCACACCTTGCCCTTGTGGCTGTCGGCATAGTTATCAACGCCTTTAATAATGACACATGGAACATTATCCCATATTCCTGCCCCCTCCATCTCGAACGCAATGACCTTCTCTCTATTGACAATCTGATCACGATACTGTCCTGACTTTATGACCGTATCGGCAGAGGCAACGGGCCCAATGTATATGGAAGTCCGGATAGCATCCGAGATCTCTCGACATCGGACTTGTTGACTTGGATCGCAGTTCAACTCGTCGCACTCCTTCCGTAAAGCCTCTTCGCAAATTTGGTCAGCTGCATCAGTCGTAGAACAAGAGCACCTAGCAAAAGAAGCAGGCTTGGAATGCTTGTGCAGATAAGAGGCATTGAAAAGGATATCGCGGACCCCGGGATGACACCACCTAGTCCCTGTCTGTTGGAGGGAGTGAAGGTATTGCTGTGTCTGGTCCTGCATCTCACTGAGTGCATTTTCCGTGCGAAGGCCATTTAGAAGAGCCCGAATCTCTCGACCTGGCCTGCCTAGCGTTTCCTTAACGTCACTCTTCCGTTGAAACCCTCCCGGATACTGTCTGCCAAAGTCATATTCGATCACCGAGTCACTGATAATCACATCGCCAAGGAATATCTCTTGGTACTTGGGGGGCGAGGGGGCGCCTCCGCAGGTACCAACTACCAAAGCTAGCTCAATGCCTGTGTAGCTGACTAGCAAGCTAGAGGCAACAGCAGCTGCACTGCCCTTGCCCACTCCAGGCATATAGCACAGGACCACGTCGTGCTTGCCAATTCGTCCATTTAAGTATGCGTTCGCGTCACCTCGTTGTTTGCCGTAGTGTTTTCCAAGCCGATCATAGGTTTTATCAAATAGGGCCTCGACCGCTTCCGCCTCGAGAGGGAGGGCGCAGATAATCGCGATCGCAAAATCGTCGCGGCTTCTCGGTCGCATTTTGCAGCACGGGTTATAAAGGGTTTCAAGTAGAGATTGAAGCAGGTTTTGCCAGGTCGGGTTATTTGACAAAAGGCCTAGAAATGGAGGGTTAGAAAAGCTGAAGTTATAGTAAATAGAGGCAGCCTTATGTTTCCAGCCTCGCGCTTTTCTCCCAATCAAACGACAAGAATAGCCGCCCAGAAGAGGGGTAGTGTGCGACTGATACCCCATCGTTTCACTGGACCGAACAGTAAAAGATGCCCACTTGGCCTGGAGGAGAAGTATTACCGTAGCGCAGACCGGGGATCATCTGGGCTCTCCAATATCAACACTTTGCAAACAGCATATCGTCGCCGCAAAGGTAGCCTTACTGGGACGGGAGTTACATGGCAGGGAAATCTCGGAGCCAGCCTCATTCCCCTCCCGAGTCACCACCACCACCACTTGATCCACATAGCACCATCAACACCGTTGAGGACTCGGAGAGCTTCCTTCCTTTCCGGCTCTCGGTTTCAAGCCACTCCCCTCACGCATACACTAACGGGAAAGCCAACTATACGGGAGCATTCAACTTCTCATTAGTGTCGATGCCCCAGCCCAGCCCCCCTCCCCCGGGTGCCTACCTAATTATGAAGCAGTCACTGTACAGGTATCGCAACAGTCATCATGGCTTGCTAGAAGTCTGCGTAGATTGGTATGATATCTCTTTCGTTCTTTAACTTATACGCTCTAGACATCGACAATCCTCCCCGTCTTCGATTCTCCCAGCCACCGGGGCTCACTACGCGCCAGATCCAGCTTCGGTCCACCTGAAATCCCCACGAACGTGTTGCACCACGCAATGACAGTATTCCACCAGACCAGACTATTCTCCCGACCGAGAACAAAATGATTCTCATCCGGGAAATTCAGCAGCCGCGTCTCGATCCCCTTCAACCGGCACGCGGCATACGCCGCCCACCCCGCTGTACTGGGGCACCGGAAATCCTTATCAGAATGGATAATGAGCATGGGCGTCGACCAATTCGTGAGATACTCGACGGGGTTCCACTTCCGCCAAAGCTCCTTCGCGCTGGGTGGGTCTCTATCCGCCGAGGGCGCATCAGTAAAGTACGGCGACCCGAAAGAGCGGGTAAGCTCCTCCTTCTGCGCTAGATCGTCACCAAGCAGCTCAGCGACCACATCAAAGACCCCATCGTGGCATACAATTGCCTTGAGCCTCTTGGCCAACGGCTGGCCCGCCACCCACAGGGCCATGTAGCCGCCGTAGCTGGCGCCAGCGGCCACGGCCCGGTCGGTGTCGCATTTGGTGGACAGGTTGTCTTCGACCCAGCGGAAGCAGCGCTCGATATCGTGGTAGGGGTGGCCGCCCCATTGGCGCGAGACCGCGCGCGTGAATTCCCGCCCGAAAGAATCCGAGCCTGTGAAGTTGGGGATCGCGACAATGTACCCCTGTTCTGCCACGAGGGCCGCATTCCACCGCCAGGTCCATTCATCTTTCATGGCAGAGCTGGGACCGCCGTGCATGAGGATGAACAACGGGTGCTTGGTGGCGTAGGTCGGGTCGTAGTCGGAGGGCTTCAGGATCCAACATTGCACGGGGGTCTCGCCGTCGGGTCCGCCGGGGTAGGTGATGGATTCGACTTGCTTAGAGGAGATACCGAAGTAGTCGCCGTGGTTGGAGGAAGTGTAGATGATCTGGCTGTTCTCGGATTGGTCATCGCCGCTGGTCAGGGGCGGGACGATCGAGAAAAGTCCCTGGTCGATGAACGACGAAGACGTGGCCAGTAGGCGGGTCTCGGTGTCGTGTTCGCTAAGACGGTACAGTGCGGAAACCGAGCCGGAGATGCTTAGCTCCTTGGGGATGACGGTTTGATGCTTCTCCAGGGAAAATGGCGGAATACGCACCTGGTACACCCGAGCCCGAGCTTGGGAGTTGGCAGTCAGATACAATTTGGTGCCATCGTTAGCCCACAAAATCGCGTCCGGGAAGACGTCCCACTGACTCTCCGTGAGATCGACCGTCCGCAGAAGGAAGACAATGCTCATAGTGTCGACATCCACAAGACCTATTGTTTTATGCGACCACTCCTCGCGGTCCTGGTCCACAAGAAACGCAGCAAGGGGGCCTTTGGGCGCGAAGGTTGGGGTCGAAGCCACGTTGGCATGACCTGGAACACGAATCTTTCTTAGGGGCGGCAGTTCAGTCTCCTGGAACGTCGACAATGGGATAAAATACAGCGACCGCTGCGTTTCGATCCATTCTGTGTTTCCGGGTTCGCTTGTGGCGAAGAGAATCCCATATGTCGAGATGCTCATCTCCGCGGAGCTGGACGAGTCGGCATAGAGGGGCACCGCCAGCCCGGTGTCTCGCAGCGCATTTATTGGGCCAGCCGGCGACAGGTGCCATTTATTGGTCTCGCCATCAAGTTTCAGCACCGTGAACCAAATGACCGAGCGATACTGGTCGACATAGGTATCCCAGCTTCTGGGACGACCATGCGCCCATTCGCGAGCAGTTGTCGATGGTTTCTCGGTCTTTGCCGTGTTATATAAGTTCTGATCGGCATCCGCCGGCGCAGTGAAGACAAAGGCAATGTCCCCGTTATCCAAGACTTTAGTTCTGACGTCGTTCAACTTCGCGTTGATGGTACCGGCGAGATAGGGCCTGGATAATGACGACACCACGGTCAGTACTCTGCTGTCTTAATGACTCACTCGATCGGATAGATTTGAGCCGTACCGTATAGTGCTGTCAGCATCGCCAATCCATAGCTCAGTCTCCTTGTTCTTCTCGCCCTCCCGCTCCCACAGTAGGGACGATCCCCGCAGCCAACGGAACGAACTTTCCTTGGAGTTGTTGCTGTATCGAGTCGACTTTCCTGTCCCCAGCTCAAGTATTTTGACGTCTGTAAGGCTGGTGTGTGTTGCGAGATCATAGGTCGAAACGGTGTAGAGCGCGAATTTTCCGTCATTATTCGGGACTGCTTCCGAAATTCTTGGAGCGGTGACTAGCAGTCTGTTGGGTAGTTCCGAAAGAGTCAGCAATATTGCTCCTCAATATACACTTGATCACGGCAAGGACATACTCGGGGGTGAATTTCTTCGGGGCGGGCATCTTGGGGGGCTGGGGGGGGGGGTCGAGGTTGATGACACACCAGTCAGCGATGTGTAGGTACGTGTAGTGAGGGGAAGTTCGTCTTAAATGATAGTTACCTGGCGGCCACCAGCCGGAGCTCCGACGCTGATGGTATGACCGTGCGGGGGCACCTGGCCTAACTCAAGTTAGCGAGCTATATGTAAAACCGCGAATGCGAAGAGCATGCATAATCAGCACTTGTGAATTATGCAATTAAGTTGTGCAATGATGGCGTTCTGTTGCGCTTATCAAGCTGCGTGTACTGCCTTACGCCTACAACGATAAGGCGTTATCGGTATCTATCACGTGACATTCATGGGTCTCCCCTGTCCCCTGCTATAAACATAAGATTCCGCACGACTTTACACAGCTAGCACATCAGTTCTTTAAAGACACCTTCAATTCTAAAAATCAGTCATCATCCGACCAGCTTCTGCATGTCGGTCCTGTTTATTCCTCATCTTGATGTACCTCGCGCAAATGTACGGCCATGGAGTAAACTTCCCAGCTCTACGGATTGTATCAACAGGGAAGCGCCAGAGCTTCAGCAAGAAAAAGCATCCACACGTCTTAAATCGAAAGGTTATCTGAGACCCACTGCACTGCAACTGATGCCAGCAGGCTCAGGATTGCCAGCCGGTGGCCCACGAACCATCTTGAAGAAACCATAATAATGTGATTGCGTGGCGTCTGGGAGAAGGTTAAATGAAATGCTTGGAGACAGTTCGCGGGTCTGTCGGTAGAAGAAGCCCAGCAGCACTTCATCCAGCTATGTAACGCTTAGGGCACAGGCACAACATGAGACCAAGTAGTATCAAATTTGTGAATGTGAGGCGGATCGATGTGTTTGAGAGTGGTAATCGTGGCGGTTGAGCTTGGGTATAATCATCCCTGTTTGAGGTACAAAGAAAATTGAAGGTATATTCAGCCTCAGTGCCAGACTGTACATGGATCAACCGGGACATGGTATTTGCTCTCTCCCTGTTCTCATCGTGCAACGGAGCCCATCAAAGGAAGGGTTTCTTCTTGGGTGTATACTTCGAATATAGCAACCATGGCAAACATAGTCAAGAAGAAATACCTGCGGACATTGACTGGGACAAATCCTAGCGAAACTTCCATACACCACTTTGTTCCAAGTCAGTCCCACCGATATTAACCATAAAGTTGCCCCCGGTCTTCTGCTATGATCTCATGCTGCACGATCCAACATTCCGGCGATCGACAGCTTATGCGAGGAATGCTACCACCAAAACAAAACACAACTCAGACACAACAAGCTATAAGAACCTCACCACTCCACACAGCCTCTGGTATACAACAATCATCCCACTGCGAATATGCATCTACGCGCATTATCGACCCTGACGCTGCCGCTGACCCTCCTCATTCCTCTCACCACATCTCAGACCCTCAACATTGTAGCCCACCAAGATGACGACCTTCTCTTCCTCTCGCCAGACCTTCTGCACAACATCCAATTAACGACGCTTTCCACCCCAACACGTACAATCTTCCTCACGGCCGGCGATGCCGGGGACACATCCTCCTACTGGACATCGCGTCAAGCCGGTTCTCTGGCCGCCTACGCGCGCATGGCCAACGCCCCCAACACATGGACCGAGTCTACTCTTTCCGTCCCTGACACCATTCACGCAATTCCGTTATACACGCTCACCGCAAACCCATCCATCTCCCTCGCCTTCCTTCAACTCCCCGACGGCAATCTGCACGGCGAAGGTTTCCCCACCACGGGCAACGTAAGCCTCCAACAGCTCTGGCAAGAGAAGATCCCGTCCATCTCTAGCCTAAATCCTGCTCAAGAAAGCACATATACAAGAGACACCCTGCTCTCGACTCTCAGCGCGGCCATCGCCTCCTTCAACCCTGTCCGCGTGAACACCCTCGACTTCACTCGGGACTTCGATGCAACCAGCCCCTCGGGAGGTGGTTCATGGTCGGATCACAGCGACCATCTCGCGACTGCCCGATTCGCGCAAGCAGCCGCGCAGGACTGCGCGGCCAAGGGGAAGTGGAATACGGAGGTGGTCGGGTATATGGGATATCCGGTGCTGGACGCGCTGCCGCAGAGTGGGAATGTGCGGGGCGCGGAGTTGGTGGAGAAGCAGTTGGTATTCTATACGTATGCCTTGAGTGATTGGCGGACTTGTCGGGACGATGGGGGGTGTAAGGGAGGCAATGAAGAGGGGTGGTTGGCGAGGCAGATTGTTGTGTCCTCGAGTCCGGGGACAATGGTTGCTAGTGCGCAGGTTGTGGCCAAGGAAAATGGGGATGGAGGGTTTGGAGGACGCTGGGGATTTGTGAGGGCTGGCGACACAGTTGAGTTGACCGGGGAGGAGAGTAACGGGGCGTTGCAGTATCGTTGGAAGCAGGTGGAGGGGGTACAGGTGCAAGTGGAGGATGCTGAGAGCCCGAAGGCCACGGTCACGGTGGCAGGGGTACAGGTTGGCGAGAGGTTAGGGTTTGAACTGGTGGTGATCGGTGATGGGGGCGTGGAAAGTACGCCAGCACGCGTGAGCTTGTTTGTGGTACCGGGGGAGGATGTTGCACCACGAGCGAGCAATGTCACGGCTTCGTCGGAGAATGCTGCAGGTGGCCAGTCGGCTGCTAAGGCTGTTGATGGCCGGGTTGGGGGGTATCCTGGGGATACGTCGATGGACTGGGCCACGGTGGGTGGGAGGGAAGGCAGCTGGTGGAGGCTGGAGTGGGACTCGCCGCACATGATCTCCCAGGTTTACCTGTTCGATCGACCGAACACGTTAGACCAAGTCACGGGGGGTGTGGTGGAGTTCGATGATGGCAGCAGTACTGTCTTTGCTGCCCTCTCCAACTATGGTGAACCGAATAGCGTGAACTTCGAGCAGAGGTCAGTCCACGCTCTGACAGTTAGAGTCACTTCCGTGAGCTCCACAACGGGCAACGTGGGACTGGCAGAGGTCAAAGTGTTTTGACGTGCTGTGGGCACGATGAGCATTCTGCACTTAGGGTTACAATGATAGACTCCCTCTCTCACGTTAATGGTATTCCGGATCAGTCTTAGATTTCAGCGCTTTACCCTGGACATATATGACGGTCTAACGGTACTCCACGTCCCCAAGGGCGTTTCTGAAAGAGACGAATTTAATAAGCATCGAGAAAAAGAGAAACATTTCTGGTAAAACTAGGCAACGGTTAGACTTTTCACAGGGAGCACAGTATCATCTGTGATTTATTGTAAAGTATAGATTAATAGGACAGATTCGGTCCATGCGTAAGCATTGATAGGACTGTCACCTTAAAGATTGAACTAGGGGATCACCTGGGCCTACCAATGCCACGGCAAAAACTCCACCCTGATCGTCACCCCGGGGACAAGCTCGGAGTCTCCTTCGACGCTGGGTGGAAACAGGGGGCGCCTTATTATAAGGCACCCACCGCCGAGTCCATTGGTGCAAGCTGTTGTCGTCAAACTTCAAGTCGAAGGTAGAGAACGGCTCCTCCTTCAGATTGGTGTCATCGTAGCATTGAGCCATCCCAAAGACCAGGGTGTCATCGTCCAGGCTCTCGTCGGGCAAGAGCACTCTGTAGCACTGAACCAGATATCCCGCGCGGCAGAAGCCGTATAAGGGAGGGGCTTCTGGAAAGCGTTCTCGGAGCAGTCGAAATGACTCGGCCAGGCGCGGCTCGAGGGTCGCCCATTCGAAGTCAGCCGCAGGTGAGGTTTCATCGTCCATGATACAACGGTAAGGGACAGGGGGCTCGCTCGGTCTTATATACATGCCGTGCCGCTGCCTATGTCAGTGGATAGGTCGTATGTTGAAAGGACGTGAATTGCCTTCGTGCGGAATTGAGTTTGAGATAAATGATGTCAACATTCGAGACAGATGACAATTAAAGATGAAAGAGGGTTACTTTGCTTGCCTTTTCTTGCCTTTGTTTGTCTTTGTAGTCACCTTTTGTGTTAATGACTTCGCTCTCGAGACAAGGAATATCGATCTCTTTAGGACCGTTCTAGAGCAACACCCTTGTCTTTATCTGATCAAGAAATTTGAACGGCGTGGACAGCCATGTCAAAGAATGAAGATAAGCTCTAGCTGGTCGTGGCGTAATCTTAGCACTGAGAACGCCGCGACCCCTTCGCCAAAACATGTTTGACCATGCATAACAACACTTATTATAATTCCTGCTGCCCATATCTGAACGCGTCATGTTTGGTATGTTTGTATGGATCTTCGGTTTGCTTCCCTTCGAGGAAGTCTTCAAGTCCTAGTCTGATTGTCTGTCTGAGCCACATCGCTGGGTGCGGTCATTAATTGACAGGAGCCTTGACGGCCTGTCATGTAACAAGTCATTTATGCATGAGGCACCTGTGGCCCTATATATGCGCATGGTCCAGAGTCAAGGCCCCGCGGGCCTTCCTCTTCTCTTTTTTCCCAAGAATAGAATTCTTGCCTGGCTGAATCATCTCCTTTTCATAGCCTCACACCGGCCGGCTTGCTGCTACGCCCGCCAAGATCACCTGGGTGGGCTGGCTTCCCGCAAGGCCAAGGAAACCCCGCGATCCAAGCTGGTGGTGGAATTCAACAATGACCGCGCCGCGGGGGCTGCCATAATGTATAGTCTGGCGCTCGACGGTAAGAAACACCGCTGCTCCTACTACAACAAACACTACAAGGTCCTTAGCCCGAACGCGGTGATCAAGCGACGCGGCTACTCGATCGCTGTGTACGGCATGGATATCGGCCGTGTCAGCACGGGGACCCCGCGAAGCAACAGAAGGCCTTGGCCGAGAGGATTAGGATTGCCAACGCCAGCCGCCTGGCCGCAACGCCCACCGAGATTACATATCTCGGCTGGGTGCGGCTGTGGAAGACTATTACCGAGAAGGGCAAGCCCTCTACGCTGATGGTCGAACTGGATAGTCTGAATACGGTAAACGTCCTCCTCCGCGGGGGCTTTGTGCTCGACGGTAAGTACTTTGATACCAGCTACTACGACCGCGATCAGCAGCTCTTGCAGTGCTTTGGATACTAAGAATATGACTATATTAAGCAGTACTATCGGAGAAACCGGGTCTGTGCGTACTGCGCGGGCTTGCACGAATCTATAAACTGTATATTTAAGAACGACAAGATATATGCTAGATGCGCGAACTGCGGGTTGAAGTATTTCGCCTTTAACTATATTTATATAAGAAAGAAGAATTGACTGGAGGCTATTCGGTAGCATCGGCTGAACGCTCCTGTGCTGTATACTGAACTTTTTTTAGCAACAGCGATACCATCGCCCGAACCGCCTCCGAGCCCGAGGTAAGCCCCGAGCTCGTCTAATTGTAACACGCCTGCGGCCGCTCGATGAAGTTTAAGGTAATGGTGGCTTTTAGCAAGAGCTGCCGGAAATCGACTGGAAAGAAGCCGGAAACCGTACTGGTTCCGGCTGTGAAGGCCGATGCTGTGATTAATACCGACCGCGGTAAGCAGCTGAAGTACCGCTATGAGGAGGATTATTGAGAAATTATAGAGGTTGATATCCGTAGCTGTAGTTCTTCCGTGGGTGTACTGGCGCCAACTGAAACTGCGTCGGTTCTCAGCCTCGATAATATCTTGTATATAACCAAGTCTGTGACCCGATACCGCAGCCGACGCTGTAACTAGTTTACCGTTTCGGATGAGAGCAGTAACAATAAGCTTAGTGTTCTTGCCCCGGATGCTACCGATTATGCTATAGCCGTCCGATATAAATAGTCACCGTAGACGACTTGAAATTGTATAGGCGAACTGTTGGAAATCTAACACCGTTATAATGTATTTTTTTTCGGTGAGGAGGGGGTGCGGAATGTAGGGCTTATTGCTATTTAAGAGCTCTGGATAAACCGCTACGGCAGCCAGTTAACCACGTATTTTTAGGCCCTGGAAGAGCGCTTCTATCTGGTTATAAAGCCGATATTAAACGCAGAGCTTGTCCCGCGGGTCTGCTTCTTTATAAGTAGGTATATTGATTTAAAAATGTAGGCGGTCCGGTACCGATTGAGATTTCTTAGTATTCTTACGCTGCAGGTCCCGGGGAAAGACCGCGTTCATATTTATAATGTATATCGGCCCGGTAAGAGCAGTGACCAACGCGAAACAACAAGCCCGAGCCGACGCCCGAGCCCGAAGACGAGGACCTCCGTGAGGAGAAAGAGAATCCGGTGCTTGAACTGCTTACTGCGGCCCTGCAGGAACCGGGGGAGTATATGGTTCTCGGCGATTTTAATCTGTATTATCTGCTATAGAATCTGCCGGGGTAGATCTATACTGACGACGCAGCCAGCCGGCTGCTCGATATTACTATCGATAAGGATCTGGGACTGCTCCTGCCGGAGAGAGCGGTATACGAGAAGGGCGACGCCCGTACTACTATCGATCTGTTATAGGCTACGCAGCGGCTTGGAGAATGTCTCAGCTACTGCTCCCCCCAGGAAGACTAGTAAATAAAAGTAGACCATATACCGATATGTATGGTGCTGGATTTCAGCCCGGCGCCCGCTCCTGCGGTGAAGGGTTGGGACTGGACTATTACCGACTAGCAAGTCTACAGAAGCGAACTGGCCAACCGACTACAGCTATGGCCGGTAGTCGGCTAATTGGTTAGACCGGTTACTATTAATGCAGCGGTAGAGGATCTTGTTGAGGTTCTAACTGCCGCCGCTGAAACCGCTATGCCAAAGCAGACTATTACCGGGTACTCCAGGCCCGGCTATACGGAGGAAATGAAGGAATTAAAGCACCGCGTACAGTAAGTAAAGCGGTGGGCTAAGTCCGACTGCTAAGCAGACTGTAAGGCCTACAGCCGAGCCTGCAACGCGCTATATCGACAAACCGCCAAACAGAAGAGACAGATGCATCGAGTGAGGGTAGAAGATGAGGGGCGCTTTATTAAGGGATTTTGGAAACTAGCCCGCTGGGCCTGTACGCGCGGGGACCCGAGGTTTATATTTATACCCGTACTGCAGTCGCCAACCGGGGAATTGGTAGAGAAGCCCGAGGCTAAAGCCGAGCTTTTTCGACGGGCCCTATTTCCAGCCGTCGGCACGGCGGACCTTGCCGATGTCGACGGCTACGAGTACCCTGAGCCGCACGTAGCACCCCGGGTGACCCTGGACGAGATACGCCGCGCAATTCGGCAAGCCGCACCCGGAAAGGCTCCCGGCCCCGACGGGCTGCCTAATCTGACTCTCCAGCAAGCCCTCCCTCTCATTGAGCATCGACTGGACAACATCTTTAACGCATGCCTAGATATAGGCTACTGCCCCCAGCACTTCCGCCGGTCGACCACCGTCGTTATCCGCAAGCCGGGCAAGGACGACTACACCGTGCCCAAGAACTATCGACCGATTGCGCTGCTTAACACGCTGGGTAAGGCCCTTGAATCGATAGTTGCCTCCCGAATCAGCTACATGGTGGAAGCCCTCGGGCTGCTCCCGGAGCACCACGTCGGTGGGCGCAGAGGGAGGTCCTGCGACCACGCCTTGCATCTGATTCTCGAGCAGGTCCACGCCGCGTGGCGAACTGGACACCCGGTGGCCAGTTTACTGGCGGTTGACACCCAGGGAGCCTATGACAACGTGATACACCTACGCCTTCTACACAATCTCCGAAAACGCCGTGTACCGGCCAAGATCGTTAACTGGATTGCTTCCTTTCTCGCCAACCGGCGAACCGCCATCGCCATACAGGAGGGAGTCATGGAGGAGAGGGACGTGGCCGTGGGCATCGCCCAGGGCTCGCCGCTCTCACCCATTCTCTACCTGTTTTACAACGCCGACCTGCTGGAACTGCCTTTCGTGGGAGGCCGTATCCTGATCGTTGGCTACGTGGACGACGTCTGCATGCTGACATGGGGGGACACCGTCCTCGAGAACTACGCCCGCCTGCAGAGACTTCACCGCCACGCGGAAGTTTGGCAGCGCCAGCATGCCTCAGTATTCTCACCTTCGAAGTACGGCCTTATCAATATGGTCCGGGGGCTACCCCGTACAGGGGCGCCCTCGGCCATGCGATTAAGCGAGCCCCTAACTATCGCAGGCGCGATGGTCAAACCGACGCAGAGCCTTCGCTATCTAGGGGTCTTTCTCGACCCTGAACTCGCCGAAACCGCCCATCTTGCCCAACTGGAGACCAAAGCCACCCGGCTGACGGCCGCGCTCTCATCGATTGCAGGCTCCACCTGGGGCATACCCACCGCCAACCTACGCCGTATGTATACCGCCGTCCTTCTTCCCCAGTTGCTCTTCGGGTGCTCTACCTGGTTTATCCGGGGCGTCCGGGGCTTTCAGAAGACCGCCACCAATATTACAAAGCGCTTCGAGAGCATCCAACACAAAGCCCTATGCCGCGTGGCAGGGGCCTTTCGCACCACCGCCAGGGCTGCCCTCGAGGTATGCCTCAACGTCCCACCGCCGCAGATTCTGATTAAGAGAGCCACCGAGGACGCCTGCCTCCGGGTTATGGCATCGCCGTTCTACCACCGAGCCCTACTCCCGATCCGACGGGCCCACCCCGGCAGACGCCGTCCCGGTGGCCCGGAGACCGACCCAGCCATGTCACCGCTGAACCGCCTGGAACCCCGGCTGGCCCGAGACCTCGGGCTTGATCCGGATATGCCGGTGCCCGTGGAAACTATCGAACCGGTGGTGGTCTCTCCGTGGTGGGAACCCCCGCCTATTGATATCGCCGATTCCAGGGACGAGGCTATCCACCGACACGCCCTTTGGCCGCCTATCATCCTCCCCGCGTACACCGACGGCAGCGGCCACTCCGGTGGCATCGGCGCCGCCGCGGTGATTCGCAATGAGAACCGAATTGAGCCAGTTGGCCGCGAGGACACGCACACGGTGTACTTCGCTGAACTAACTGGCATCGAGCTGGCCCTGACCCTCGCTGAGGGGGAGCCCGAGGGAGACGTCCCCCGGGTGAGGTCGACCATGACCACCCCAAGGCCTAAGTCAGTGGTCATTCTTACCGACAACCAAGCCGCCATCCGTGCCTGCTCGGAACCAAGGCGCCAATCGGGCCAAGGAATCATCAAACGGATCGTCAACCGGTTAAACCGCATGCGGGATACCGGCTGGCAGGTGCGCCTTCAATGGCTTCCGGGCCACGAAGGCGTACCCGGTAACGAACTCGCCGACGAACGCGCCAAGGCCGCTGCCTCCCGGGCTGCAGGCCAACCGGTCAACACCCTGCTGATTTCCGCCGTGCGCCAGCGCCTGCGGGAATTAGCCAACCGGCAATGGAAGGCCAACTGGGCTGGCAACCCGCACGGCCGCCACGCCCGCCGTATCCTCACCGACGCGGCGGAGGGTAAGAAGGCCCTCAGCTTGCACACTGGCCTACACCGGGCGTGATCCTCGGTGCTAGTACAGATACTAACTGGCAAGATCGCCCTGGGTGCTTACCTGGGCACTATCGGAGCCGCCGAATCGACCGCGTGCCCCTACGGAT